CCCTTTGCTATAATAAAGATAAATATTAAAGAATATTAATTGTGTATGTGGGCTACTTATTACATTTAAAAACATATTCTGACAGATACGAAAATTAAGTTTTGGTATAAACAAATTGTCTTGCCAAGTATCTAGACAATTACGAACTTTACAAGCATCTAATATTTGAGCAAAAGTTGAAAAATATCGAACTATCGCTCATAATTGGAGTTTAAGTATAGAACATTTTGGATACCTGATATACGTTTGTTTGCTTTTATTTCAAATGTCTCAATTAGAGAATTGAATCGTTGGCAAAGCATAAAGTCCTATGGTTCGGTTCGGGTTACGATTTGATTTAAGGTTCGTTTGAGGGTTAAAAATAAATTGGGATGCCGCAGTCTAGATTACAAATATTTACCCAACACAATCCTTCATTATTTATTTGGATGTTTAGTCCAAGCTTTTGTATTTTATCAGAATATATCAAGTCAGCTTTTCATTGTGAGGTCAAAAAACCCTTTGTTTTATTTGTTAGCGAATTGTGCGTATGTGTGTGTGTGTGTGTGTGTGTGTGTGTGTAAAGGTAATACAAGCGTAAAGCACCTTTTTCTTTATTGCACTTTTATGGCTGCCTAGATTTATATTTAGTGCGGCCAGCCTGTGGCTTTTGTTTCAGGGCCCCAACAACAAAAGAAGTCAACTAGTCCCGAGCTTGTTGTTGTTGTTGTTGTTGCTGTTGCTTTTGTGGTTCTTGGCTGTTTCATGTCTGCAATTAATCAAAAAACTGTTTGCACTTTTGCTGTACTGAAACGTTAAGAACGACCGCAGCAGCAACCGCGACACTGCTTCGACTGTGGCCACGTATGGCATTACGCACTTCCGTTTCCGCCGCTGTCTGGCTGTTACGGCGACCACCCCCTGTGCCCCTCACCAATCAACTAACCACCTACTGCTCGTCAGTTCGTCTGGCTTTTGTAATTTTGTTTGCTCACCCGCACGCACACACGCACACACGTACACACACACACATATAAAGAGATCCAAAATCAAAAACTTTTTATTGCGCTTTGCTTTTGGCTTGGATTTCAGTTTTATTCTCCTCTCTTCCTCTCTCTTTCCCTACACCTCCAGAACTTTTTATATTTATATATTTTTTTTTTATTAATTTTGCACGCGCAAAAATTTTGTGATTTATGAGCCGCAAAAACAACAGCAGCAGCAACAACAACAAAACAGCGCGACAAGCTCGCAATTTTGCAGACTTGTCGTCGACACACGCCGTCCACACACACATACACACAAACCCCTACATGAAGTGTGTGTGCGTGTGTGCTCAGGAATGTGTGTAAACTGAGTTAAGAGCTTGTTTTGACTGGATGCTTAAGCAAACTTTTAAGGAAACACATATTTACCCAGGGCTAAGTTTAGTTTGCTTGGCTTAATATGCTATCAAAATGATTGGCCTTAAGATTTCAGCTTCAACGGATCCGAATAATTCCCTCAAATAAAAATAATTTAAATATTGGAGTATCATACCTTCTTAAATGTGACAAGTATTCCCGTCTTAAAAACTTATAGATTTTGAAAAAAAAAGATTTCTTTTTAATTTTAATTGTTATGTTCCAAGCTAGCTCTCCTAATTTGTATTAATTTTGTAGAAAGGGCATATTGTTTTTGTGCAGAAGGAAGCGTCTCCCCCTAAAAGCGATATCGAAATCCTGATTTTGGAGCAAAACTCATAGGTTAATAGCTAAGACTTAAGAGCCACACATGTAGCTTGTAGCTTACAAATATTTTGCTGCATTTGGTGTTGGTAAAAGTAGGTTGAGGGTATCCCCTAGTCGGAAGCTGCCCGTCTCGAGCTTCTTACTTGCTTTTCATAAGCTACAAAAGACACCTATTATTGTAATAACAACCTTGAGCAGATTAAAGCAGAAAAACAAACTAAATGTATATTTAAATTTGTGCTAACTATGCTTGCTTTGCAGTTGCCTGATGTTTATTTAATGCAAAAAATATATGTAATCACATTGTGCCGTCTGTTAGCAAAATATTGGCATAACAGTAAACAAACTAACGGAAGCGAACAGCTTATCCTAACCAATTTGCAAATGCATCTGCCAAAAATGTAGTTAAGTGGGAAAGCTATCAAAACTGGAAAAAAAAACTATGGAAGATTTCTGATTTATTATTTAGAAGAGTCTCTAGAGGATTACAAAAAAAAAAAATCTTTGAAGCTCTTAACACACGTACTTTAGTCTCTTACCGTATTTTATTACATTTTTACAAGCAAAATTACCTGTCTTAACCTTTGTCAATACCAATAAGTGTCAGTTCGGGTCGCCTAAGGGAGGGGAGGGTCGTTTCACTGGCCATTGCCACGGACCACGAACCACGAACCACGAACCATCTCCGGCCGTTGGCTGTCAATTGTTGGCCACTTAATTAATAAAACGAATCGCTGGTAATTGCTGCTGGGTTTATTTTATATTTTTTCATTTTCATTTTCAGCTTATGCATAATTTAAGTTGAGCTGTCAACTGGAATTGCATCGATGTTCATTTCGCACCATCCTCACTCACCCTACCTACCGCATCGACACGAATGAACAGTTTTAAAAAGTGTTATTAATTTGGCTTGAGTGCGGTATTGATTCTGCACTCTATATATATTCATGTTCGTGGACAGGAAGTGTTCTGACATAAGTTTTGTCTGTACCTTTTACTTGCATAGGCCTGTGATAATGTTGCCATATCTTGTCCGCGTTAATAACTGTAATTATTGCGAGTGTATTTTACCATTTTGCCACGCCCACTTGCCAGTCATTATGCTAATGTCAAATCAGACAGTTGAGCGTGGCGATTAGCTGCGGTGTCGAGAGCTGTCAACACCTAAATAAAATGCTCAGAAGGGAGAAGTAATATGTCTGTATATCCACCAAAATATACATATACATATATATAAATTTGTATATATATGTATTTATAATAAATGTGCGTTTGTTTGTCCGCGAGTGACATGCAATTATTTATACATTATTTTGGTAGCGTAAATATTGACAAGCGACTTTGCTGCCAACCCACCGAAAGCAGTCAAAAGCCTAAGCAAACAAAGCAATTCTCGGGGCGCACGTTGCGTATACGCACTGTGCGACAGCTCGGCGAATATAATTGAATGCCTGGCGCGCAAATAATGAGGCAAGCTTAAGTGTTGTGATATGTTATTTTTTATAAATTGCCATAGCTTCCCAGCTGCCTTAAGGACATAACGAGTTCTTTAATATGAGGCTTTTTCCAATATATCTTAAGAGACAACTATTGTGAAAAGCTCAGCTGCCTTACTCCTAAGGCTTGTGGCGAGCGCTTTTCGTCAATCAGTCAGTGAGGTCAAATGCTTTATGGACTTTAGATACATTTTAAATTCATCTATCTAAAGCGCATTGCGCTGAATCATTTGATCAACACCATTCGATTGCTTTACACAAAATGCCTGCGTATCTGCGAGTCATTCAGCTAACGTTATAATTTATCTAAGGCAACGCAATCAAAATGTATGCCTTGAAGTATGCCATGCTTCAAATTCAAGTGCTTTTTCGCAAAACGCAGACAATCCTCCGCTCCCGCCTTAACGGCTGACACTGGCAGTCAATCAAGCGTTCTGTCGGAGCGCTCCCTCAAAAGGCAGTCCAAGCAAAACGACAGCTGTTGATAAGCCGCAGACAGTAGTCCAAACAAAAAAGTGAGCAAACTTTATTCTCAGTATCGAAGTCGAAAAGTGGGGTATACTAGGGTTGTGACTAACCAGCCATGTTTAGAATTTAGTGATACCATTATCAGATTTAACAAATCCTAGTTATATTAGCAAGAGTAGACCGAAAAAACGCAGAAAACTTGTGTAGAACCTAATAATAATAGCTTAAAGACCCATTCATATACGTGACTGTGCCCTGTACCTATTGATAATATCTGATAATGGGCTTATTGCTGTTGCTTTAATGTCTGCAAGAAACAGGAAGACACACATTAGGTTTATGTGTGCATAAAGATTCTTCATATCCTTAGCGTCAATAAATATCGTATTCCAGATATTGTTATTATTTAGCACAACTCGCCCATTAAAAGACAATTTGAATTCTCATTTCCTAAATAGAAAAAGTTACAAGCGAAACTATGTGCAGGACGTCTGTTAGTCGGCTATCGACGACTAGAGTGTTTTATCAATCGGCTTCCCTGGGCCACCGCAAACGCTTCCATCTACTTGTTGCTGATAAGCGCATTTGAAGCCAAATACAACACGGCACACACACAGCACAAACACAATACACACGCAGCACACACAGCACACACACATAGGATGCCTACACGTATGTTGCATACATTTGAGAACTCTTACGAAAAGCTTACATTTAGATGGGAAAACCTTGCTGCAAATTTATGGCTTAGCCCCCCTTTGGGGGTAGGGGCCCCATATATATTTTTACGTTTTACGTTTGGCAGATTTGAAAACCATTTAAATGGGCGCCATAAAATCACTTACGTGTGTTTTGCTGTACACGTTTTTTTTGTCGAATTTCACCGTAGCATATTTACGAGCCCTTATGTAGCGTGGGGCAAGCACAATTCAACGGTTGCAAGGTCTGAAAAAGTAGCGAAAACTCTTTAAGAAAAAACGAGAGCAAAGCTTAACTGTAACCAAAAACCAGCCACGCCTACTTTAGTACACTGCACATTTGCATGTGGCATGTTGCATGTGTGGAGAGACCAGAAGCACACACATATGTGTAGGCGTCATGTTGGCTAAATCCTAGGAGAATTCGCTTGCCATTTTGTTGCCACGCGTTGGCAACAGCCATTCGATAAAAAATAAACCTAACCATATTAAATTTGTTATAAATTAAGATTGATACGATGAGCCCCTGGGAGAGCATAACTGAATGGCGCTCGTTATGTAGCAAGTGAGTGTGAGAGGGGGAAGGGGGGTATGTGTGTAAGTGTGGGGTGTATTTTAGATACACTTACCTCTTAATATGGTATATGAATAGCGACAGCTGTAAAAGATTAAACGACAAATAAGTATCATTAACAATTTGCAGTAAAAATTGATTGGATTTAGTTATAATGGATTGAGGCAATACTAAAATTAACAACATTTGTGTTAATCTGTTTTTTATTGGCATAGATAATTATCTAAATACGTGTGACAGAGAGTATTGCGAAAATATGGTCAGCATTACTTTAACGGTTTGTCCGGTGGGTTGTTCATCAGTCAGTCAATCAGTCCATCACAGAGATTGAGAGTTATAAATATATTCTATTTGATGTAAGTGTGGCAAAAAGTTTGGTAAGAAATACAGTTTAAAGCTCTTACGACTAATGTTATATGCTGATAATCAGTCAATCAATCAGTCAGTCAATCATTCAAACAATGAGTCAGTCAATCAGTCTATGACCCACAGCTAACAGACTGAAGCTGATAGCTCAATGCAAACAGATCAAGTATGAAATAAAGCTTTCCATGTAATTTGCTATTTTTAATTTATCCTCATGTCAAAGCCAATGTCAATGCTACATACTCGTATTTCCTTTTCTTATGCCAATCCTTGTTGCACACTTTTTATATTTTACTTGACTGTGTGCATTAATTGCTGCGACTTCTGTACATTTTTTGTGCTACAAATAACTAACTGTTGCCGTTGTTATTCCATTGTTATTGTTTGGCGCCTCAGAAAAAAAATATACAATAAAGCGACTACCATAAAAAGCAACTTGCACAGCTGCCAACCTCGGAAATTAAAACCCAAATAAAAAAAATTAATTTCGTTCATCAATTGCTGCAACGAACTTGAAACTTGCAATTGGAGCTGTGGGGCAAAAACAGCATCAACAATAACAACAACATTGCCAGTGCTTAATCAAGTGTGAAATCTTTAATCAAGTCAATCTTTCCGTTTTCGTGCCGTCTCCCCCTCAAAGCCCACATCCACGGGCTGTATGGCAAAAAGCAGCTGCTGCGGCTCCACAATTCCATCCATTCCGGGCAACCAATGCAACGCAGCTGTCTAAAAGGCCTTTCAGTACATTTTTTCGCTCTCTTTTCTTTTGTTTTTTCATTCTCTACCTCTACCTCAACCTCTACCTGGCCTGACCTTTTATTTTTGTTCCCATCGCCCGTGCTTGTTGGCCCTCCCACGCTTCAGCAGAGCCCTCTCTAAACCCTCTCAGAGTCTGGCCCGTTGCCTGTCAATTAAAAAGCCGTCACCTTAACTGGCCCAGGCCCTGAGCGACACGATTTGTTGCCAGCTGCATTGGAAAGCAGCAAAAGAGTTAAATAAAAATACCAAAAAAAAAAAAGAAAATGCTCTTCCTTTGAGCCGCTTTCAAGTGCGAATTAACTGAATTAGCTGTAAATGCTATTGCAATTAACGGTAAAAGAAAAACGCTTAGGGAAGTTGTCAAAGCGCAACATGAGCATCAGCCTTATGTGTCGAACTTAACTGAAGTGAAAAACTATTGATGGGAAATTAAAGCAAAAAAAGTATAAGCCTGGGGGAGCTATGGCAAAAGAGGAAATAGCTACATGGAGCTGGACTATTGAGTATGGGAAAACATCAAATGAACCTCGTTTTCTGCAGTTTTAAATATTCTCCTTATACAAATATAGAGAACTTCTTCAATTTTTCTCGACTACAATATTTATTCAACATGTAGCACACTAAGCTTTCGAATTCCCACACTCATTTAAATTTAGATATGCGCTCAAGAGAGCATCACTAAGCCCCTTTATTGTGGCTAATATTCGACTATTTTTACCCACAGTGATCACCCGCTTTGTGCAACAACGGCAAGTAAATAAGCATTGCAGCTGGACAATGGACACGGAAAAAATCGAAGCAAACAACTGACTGAATGACTTTAGATATTTCTTAAACAAACATAACAATTTAAATAAATTAAGCTGCTGGCTGTTTATCTAGCCGTTTTGAAGCCAAACAAATGTCTATAAAAAAAAATCATCTCACAAAATGAAGCAAAAAGCAAAGCTAAAGACAATTAAAAGAGACGCAAACTGAACAAACAAAATAAAATAAAGCCCCAAAGCTTGCGGCCATGCTAAAGAAACACACAAAATATATATATAAAAAAAAAAAGTAAAGAAAGAAAAACCGGCGCGACGTTCGGAATCGTGATCTGGGCACTATAACTGGGTCAAATCTGTGCTTGATGCCAGGGCATGGAAGGTGGCGAATGGAATTGAAAGCGCACAAAATGTAACCAAAAGATATTATTGTAATGGGCAACAGCAGCGAGGGAAATGCAAATGAAAATGTAACGTGGAAAAAGTTGTGCGGCTAACTTTTAGAATATATAAGCCATAACCAACGCCCACCCACCCACCATGTATGCATGCATGCAAAAAAAAAAAAAAAAAAACTAAATGAAACCTATGCAGCTGAGAGCAAAGTTTTAATCATATGCCAGAAAAACTTCATTAATTTGCCGCCAACTTTCAGCACTTGACTTCGACTTTACCACAGCGTAAATAAAACCCATTTAAAATGCCTGCGAAAGGGTCACGAAGCGCGGCAAAAAACGGAGCAGAACCATGAAAACCAAATGTGACGATGCATAAATATGAACTAAGCTAACTGCAGTCAAAAATGCTAGAAACTTATATACTCTACACCATAATGTTCCACCTGCTATAACCGTTTGCGAATTACAAAGGAATTCATCAAATTATGAGCTACACTTAATGTGATTTAACAGCTAGAGAATTAGCAGATATGCAATTGATTTATTTTGATAAAAAAATATGTTACTCGGCTTTGTTAGTTTTCTCAGTTTTCTCGTTTTTAGCACTTCGCTTAAGCTTCAATCAGTCAGTTAGGTAATCAGTCAGTCGGTCAATCCTATTTTCTACCACTTTTATAGGTAAAGGATAGCAAAAGGGGCAACACATTTTATGCAAATGTCCGAGAAAAACTCGCTGCTCTAAGCGTTAATAGAGACATGTAAAATGGAGGGGGCGTGCCGACCCAAGCACGTGGATGTGCCCCCGCTTCTGGTACGTCCGGGGTCCATGCATATGCATTCGTATGTACATATTGCCCACCGACAATCAACTGTTATGTGGCGAGGGCTGCATTCCAATTGCAATCTACAAGTGCCCTGGTTATGCTAACTGCAATATGTTGCCCCCAACTCCCTTAAGCGTAAGTGTGTGTGTGTGTGTTTGTGTGTGATTACGATACGATGATTCTGCGGTTAGATGTTGTAGGGAATCTGAAATTGATTTTTCATATTTAATGCCAAAGCAGAGCCAGCACGAGCTCTGCAAGTGAAGTTCAAATTGAAAAGCACGCTGTGCAGAGCGAGGTGTGAACAAAGAGTTGGGAGTGTGCAGATAAGTGCATATCAATAACATACTGAAAGATATATCTGAGATGCATTACATTATCTTTATCTTTTTATCTGAATCTGTGTTTATATCTACACAAATATCTATCCATATTTGTATTTGTATCTACTTTTCTATCTCTATCTTTAGCTGCTGCACATTACTATTACTGTAGCAGAATGTATCTTTGTATCAGAATTTGCGTCGGTACCTGTGTAAGTATATTTTATGTCAATGAATCTGCATCTTTGAATCTGTGGCCTTATCTGCATCTATTTATCGTTATCTTTTATGCTGGTGTATCAATATCTGTTGTCTCAATTGCATCCATATCCATTGCTGCCTGCATATGATAGTATTAATATGTTAAGCGAAGCGAAGCGTTGCGGGTAATCATAACTGCGTCAAGCAATGGCAACAACCTCAGAGTACAATGACACAAAGCGTAAAACATTCAAATAGACAGACATTTATACACACAAATGCATATAGTATGCTTTATTTTGCTACTATGTAAACTCATGCATAAATACAAAGGCACAAAGTGTCTTAAAGATGCACTCAAAAAAAAAAGTTATAAGAGCTTTGAACTCAAATTGGGAATAAACATAAGATCTAACCAAAATTAAATGTAATTAAATTAAATTTAATTTAAAATACGTAAGGTCTTCTATTAAGTATTTTCTAAATATTTTCTTAATCCTCGATAAAATCAAACACGCTTTAACTAGCATTAAGAAGACGTTTTTCTCTGAGTGTGCGGATGGAGCACGGCTGCTGCCAATGGTTCGCAATGCATGGCAGTTGGATTGTTGCCTTTGCTTATGCAAATCGTTTACAAATATTCGAATAACTCGACTCGTTTTATGTATTTATGCGACGAGTTGGCAAACTAGCAAAAAGGATGACTGTGCTGTGCAAGCAACGTCTTCAGCCGAAAGGGAAACACGCACGCATTTATATTTAAGCTGATGCAACTGGTGGGCAAAGTGGACGGAGGTTTGCTCTGCATGCCAAGTTGGTCGAACAGTCAATCAAACATGGCCAGCATCAGCCACAGATGTCATCATCAGCATTTGCACATCCCGGGGCGTTTTGCTGCTCTGGCCTGGGCATATCAGTCAGCGGTCAACTCAAGCAGCTAACCGAAAACCGTAGCGGAAACCTCGAAAATCAATTCAATTGTCTGATTGACGCGCTCCAGGTATCGATATCGGTTGCCAGCGAGGGTTGTTCTAAAAATCTGTTATATTTCAAACGCCAGCAATCCAGCGAGTATCCATAAAAAATGTGATGAACAAAGCCGTGTTGAACCAGTATGAATCAAATCAGCACGACAACTTTTTTCTTATTTTAAAGCTGTTTCATAAACCACTTACTGTTACTTTACTGTTAATGCGTTTATAATTCTCAATCAGTTCTGACAGCTGTTTAATTTGTTGTGCAGCCCACCAAATGCCAATTTTTTTCCGTTTGTTTGTTTACTTATCATTAAATCAATTGTAATTGCTTCTCAACTGGCAATACAACTCTTGTATAGTCGTGCGGCTGCCTCTGGGCTTGTTCGCTAACTGTTTTTGTCGCGATAAGCGAGGACGTGGACGAGGACGAGGACACAATTCGCTGTTAACTCAGTAGCTAAAAGCTCGC